TAGTCGAAAAGCCTTCTGATAAGCATGTTTCATGTTCTCATGTATCTGTTAGGTTTGTTTTTTTTTTAACTAAAACAATCCTTTTAATAAACACTAAAAATTATAAAACTAATGCTGGATTTTTCTCTATGCAACTGATTCTTAGAATATAATGCCCTATATTTTAGATCAAAGCATCAAAACTGTCTTTGATCCAAAACAGCCATGTAGATCCAGCATTTACATTTACATCTGAAGTCAACCTATTTATAATTACAGATTTTTTAATTTCTGATTTTCTTTTTATCCCTATGATGCAAGGAGGGTAGTACAACTACCCTTGTAGTTAACTACCCTTGATGATAGTAGGATTTCCAGAGCAATAGCTATACTTTGTTTCTGAAGCGGTCCTCTTTACTAATATAGGAAATAAAAAAATGGAAACACTACCAGCCAATCAGAAAAACATCATTGTGAATGTCAGGGCTTTCAAGGTACAAATTAGGGAATTCGTTTTCCCTTAACAGCAGTAATATTTATTAAATAATTTGTTTTCTTTTAACTAGAGTTATCCTCTTACATCAAAAGGAGATGTTAGTCCAAATTAAAATCACTATTCATCAATTACTGTCTTAATACAAGCCCTGTATTAGGCAATAGAGTTCAAGCATAATTTTAATCATTGTGGCAAATTTAATCATAATTTTATCTCATTTGGGGCAAGGGAAAAATTGAAAACTCTTAGTTATTGCTGACATGAAGAGAGATATTTCTGAGGACTTTTAATGTATTTAGTCAATCACTAAGTTTTCAAATGCATATTAGTCTTTTTTTTTTTTTTCCTTTTTCAATGAATACTTGGCTAGGGACTGGGGACAAAATGGTGAATATAATGACATAGTCTTTCTCTTCATGCAGTTTACATTCTAGTGTGTGGGGGGAATGATGTTATGTGAGAAATTACAATTATAATTACTGTAACTATAAACATTTTGAAGGAGGGGAACAGTCTGAGAAAGAATAATGAGGAGGTGCCAGTTAGTTACCTTGGTAAGTCTGGAGGCTCTTCCTTGAGAATGTGACATTTGAGCTGTCACATGAAGAATGAGAGCTATTCACACTCCTCATGTTCTGTGGGGCTCAGAAAACACTATCCCCAAATATGGCACCTTGGAGGTCATTCTCTGACCTTCTTTCACCTTCCTACCCTAACACTTGGCCACAAAAAATTCTCTGACCTACCTCCCCTAAAATCACATCATACAATCTTCATTCCAGAGGGGTTGCCCTATACCCAGAGGCCGAGAAGAAGGCCTTGTGGATCACCCCCCATAGCTTATTATCATTAGAGGAGACCCCTTTGGCCTTCAATCACACTTCTGCACAACCATCCATAAAAATACAGTTTTCTTGGGTCTTTGAGTCTACATTTTTGAAAGTTCCCATGTCATATGAAAGTTTGGTTAAATAGGTTTGTTATGCTTTTCTCTTGTTAATCTGTCTTTTGATATAATAATGTTAGCTTGTGATGGGTCAAAATAGACTACTTTTTTCCCCTACATGCTCCCTTCTCACTTTGGTTGGCATCTCTCTTTCCAGGTCTTTCCGCTACCTCTCTGGCCATTCTGACTCAGCCTTAACAGAGGGTTACTTCTCTTCTATTCAGTCTTTAGAATGTGAAGTTCTTTAGGTCTAAGGTGTAGGCCCTCTTTTCTTCTCATTCCAAAGTTCCTCCCAAAGCATCCGATTGAATCTTATGACCTTGGGTATCATCTATATGTCAAAAATTCCCCCACTATAGACTTTTCCAGGCCAGTTCTCTTTTCCTAGATTTGGATCCATATGTCAACAGCCTACATGACACCCTCACTGAATAGCTCATGGGAATCTTGAATTTAGTATAAGCCATGCTAAAATAAAGATATCTCACTCTCAACTCCTCTCCTCCCCCAGTGATCTCCATCCCCCCTAATAAGATCATTCACTCAGTTGCTGTATTAGTAAGCAGAGTCTCAACCATGACACCTACTTCTCTCTTATCTCCCACAGACAATGAGTAATTAAGCCCTGTCTACTTTGCAGCTAAACTATAGTATATTTTCAATTTCACCACAATTTCCCACCTCCCTTGCCATCAACTCTTGCTTAGATTCCGCAAACATTTTCTTAGTCTTGCCTCCATTTTTTCTCCCCTCTAATTCGTTGTCTTAAATTAAAATCTTTTCTGATTACGCCCTAGTTTTAATGTTCTTCTGTTGTTCTGAAGATCAAGTCTAAAATCACTAGGGTGGTCTCTAAGAGCCTACATGATCTACCCACTGTTTAATCCTGTAGTCTTAGCTTATGTCAGTCTTCACATTATTCTCTGTGCTTTAGCTGCAATAGACTTCTTTCAGTTTCTAAAATTAAAGAAAGGAACTTCCTTTCTTAGAGAATGTTTACATGCTGTTCCTCTCACCTGGGACATCTTAGGTTTTCCTGCTATGTATTCTCAAAGTCTCATACTCCTCTCTGTATCAGATAGGGGTGCATCGGCTGCAAGAAATAGATTACCCAATGGAGATGGTTTCAGAACAAAAACCATTTAATTTTAATGACCTCCTATCACAAAAAGTCCAGAATTAGGCACTTCCAGGGTTGAGGCAACATTTCAAAATTGTTATATAAGACCACGACTTTTCCTTGTCTGTTCTGCTATTCTGTGCACATTCATTTTTAAATTTAGGGTCACTGTCTTATGGCAACAAGGTGGCTGTCAGAGACCCATGCATCATGTTCTGACACAACTGCATTCAAAGCAGAAAAATGGGGGAAGAATGTGTATATCATACATCTTGTGTATATCACCTCTATCACAGACTAAAATCTTTCTCGCCACATTTCTCCTATATCACATTCACCATATCTGTGTCACATAGTGACTGAAAGGGAGGCCGGTTAGGTAAGTATTGGGAGTTGGGCAAGAAGAGAAGGAGGTAGAAATGGTGGTTGACTTTACAATCAACAGAATCTGATAGTATTTGGTGTGCTTATTCTTTGGTGCAACAAGTTAAGAATTAAATTGTACATTTTTGTTCATTGTCTTTTCTGTGAGATTATGAACTCTTTGACTATGGGGAGTATGTCTGTCTTGTTCACTGCTGTAAGTCGAGAATCAACACAGGGCCTGGCCTACGTAGATCAGTTAGTGTTGATTAAAAGAATGAATGAATGACTATGAAAGAGAACAATAGAATCAGAAAACAAGTACAAAAGAGATAGAAAACTGCCAACACAAAACTGATCACCGTATCTCATTTCTCATGGTTCAGCTTCTTATTCCATTTAAATTAAAAACAGTACTTTCATCAAAAAAGGACAATTTTCTGAAAGTGCACAATTGTTTGCACAGTGAATGCAATTCTCGTAACCTCTTAATTCCTGCCATGAGAGTAGACATGGGTATTATTGTTGTCATTGAGATATAGGAATGAATTATTTTAAAAACATAAAATTTTAACCCCTGTTAAGGAGTTATATGATCCAGAAAAATTTAAATTGCCTCAAGTACATAAATGTAAATCAATTCTTGGCTAAATCACTCAAACATCATTCAACAAGAAAAAGTGAATACGAGCTAGGAAGTTATTTAACAGAGTAGTCATAAAATTTTTGCTCTAAATTTTTCCACTCTTGAGAGCATCATACCAATGGATGCATTTGTCATTCAGATTGGCTGATGAGGAAGAAAGCAAATGTAAAATGCCTGGCACATAAAAGATGCTGGATGCATTTTTGTTCCTATGTTTAGACCAACCATTCTTTTAATTTACTCTTATCTCTGCCGTGTCCTAAATGCATACCTATGGGCAAGTTGATCATGTTCTTTGGGTCACCAATGAAACAGTAACCCTAAACTCCCTTTCAGCTGTACATATAGGCACAACACAATTTTAAAATTTAAATGAAAACCATTAAATTGTATTGGTTATATTCAACTATAGCAAACCTAATAAAACATTAAGGAACTGATTCATATTCCTGAGAGTGTCTATTTCCACGGATGCAAAATCTGTTTCTTGTGGGCATTCTGTTTAGTCATGTCAAAACACACAGGGCACTAACATACAAATATCATTTAAAAAAAAAAAAGAAGAGTTGTAAATATCCACACATGCAAGACTAGGTTTCAAGTTTTAAATATGGTTTTCATTTGAAATAAAATTCCTTAAAAACAGAAAATGACTTTAGCATTGGCAAAGGGAGTCCCCTAAGGAAAAAAAAATGTAAACAGATGGCTGAGAAAGATCACCCACATGCTGAACACAGATCTTGAGGAGGCATTTCTAAGAATGAAGTAGCACTTCCCAGCCTGGGCCACTTCCCACAAGGATCCTTATTTAACCCATGGAAAACATAGAGTTTATGCTTCTGGCCAAGAGAAACCTCAACAACTTTTTTCCCCATTTGCTTCATAGTAACCCAGACTAGTTTTCAACTCTCCCCAGTGTTCCAAAAGTAGCTATGTACCAACCACTCGAGACAAGCAATCCCTTAATAAATCAGTGTTCCATGATCAGTCCTGCACTCACATCTTCCCATATAAACGGCTGTTAAGCTCTAGCTAAGCATATTAAGCATTCAATTTAATGTATGACACACATCTGTTCCACTTTCTCAGTGAGCAGAAGTTCCAAGATAACTTAAATCCCAGGCTTAATCAAGGAGAAAAAAAATCTTGGCAATGTTTAAAACTGAGTTTTAAAATATAATCCAAATGAGGGCGAGAGAGACCATTTTGCTGTAACTAATGAGATTATATAATACCTAAATCAAATCCACAAGATTACCTGAGCAGAAACACTAAATCTTTTTTCCGGGATTATTTATCTTTCATTTGGAGACCATCAACATTCCCCAAAGACCTTCATCTACACTTGGCCCAAGTCACCACAGGACAAGCAACAATGGAGTCCTCCACAAACATGGCAATTTAACACCCCCTACCCCAGTGTCCAAAAGACAGTGAGAGGAAAACTCACGGATTTGTCTTTCACGAGAAGAGCACAGCACTGGATTCCAGCCATCAGC